TCACTCGCATTGAGCAGCTTAACCCCTTCCCTTGGCAACAACTCAAGGAGAACCTTGACCAATACCCCAACGCCAAGACCATCGTCTGGTGCCAGGAGGAGCCTCTCAACGCCGGTGCCTGGAGCTTCACTCAGCCCCGTATCGAGACTCTGCTCAACAACACTGAGCACCACACCCGCAAGCACGTCATGTACGCTGGCCGAAACCCCAGTGCGTCGGTCGCCACTGGTCTCAAGCAAGTTCACATGAAGGAGGAGCGTGAACTCCTCGAGATGGCTTTCACTGTTAAGCAGGACAAGCTCAAGGGCGAGTAAGCGGATGAAGACTGAAGAGATAGGTTTAATGGGGGGTTGCAATATGGATAGTATGGTATGGTAATTGCATGGCCACTAATCGTTTGGGAGGTAAGAATTTTATAAAAGCCGCTGGATCTGGGGAGCAATGAAGCTTCTCATGTAAACCACTTGTATCATACCCTCCTAGACGAAGGACATTTTTGCCCTATATTGGCATGGGCTTGGGAATGACATAGCATGATTTCTTTTTACTGTTTATGAGTCCAGAGCACCTGACGGGTCGTTTCATTTTCTTCATCTGGCGTTGCGTAGACGACACATCTATCCCACCTACTAATATTCACATGTGTTTCAAAGTACAAGTAAGTGACTGGGTGGGTTTATTCTTCGATTGTATGTAGTATAGTATCTCAACAAGATGCAATGCTACCTTGGCGCGTCAATCTCAACCTGCCACGGCCGTACGATCCCGTCATCGCCCGTTGTAACTAGCATCTCCTCTTCCCCGCGCCGCTCCGAGCCGGCATCGTATCTCCGGCACCACGTAATATGATTAACCTCGAAGGGTCCATGAGCTCCAGGTTGCGAAGTTAGGAGTCTCCAATTCGTCTGCTGTTGCTTGCCCTCCTCAGTGTTACCCATGGTTTGGTCTTGGGGGTCGATTGTCGTGACATGTTGCTCCGAGTCCTCGGCGTAAAGCGCAACGATGCCGTCACTGCCAGTACTTGCTACGAGCCCTGTCTGTGCACTCCATGTCACAGAATAGATATCGCGGGTGTGCACCTTGGGTAAGACAGATGTGCATGTCCACTCTTCTCGTAGAGATCTCCGCATCGTATTGGGGATTCCACCAAGAGCACCGGCACCACCTCCCGTACTATTCTCCTCCGCCTCATCGTCCTGCTTCAATGTCCACACCCTGATAGTGTTATCGGCAGAAAATGTCAAGAGTCGCGGGAAGCGATCTCCCTCCCGGGGTCGTTGCTCCCATTGAAGCCCCCAGACAGTGCCCTCGTGACCTTCAAGAACAGCAACACAAACCCATTCTGCATCGCCATCTTCTCGCCAGATGCGCACTGTATTGTCATAACTTGCGCTGGCTAGCACGTCGGCCGAGTAGCTGCGTCGGGCGTTGCGACCAGGGACGTCGGGACACCAAGCAACAGCCTTGACATCGCCCTCGTGTTCGTTAAGCACGGCGATAGTCTCCCACTCGTCGTCTTCCTCGGATGCGCCGATATCCTCCCATATCCAGACTGACTTGTCGCGCGAGCAGGTAGCGAGGTAAGAACCCGAGGGGCTGAAAGCGCAAGACTTGATCTCCGAATCGTGACCCTCGAGCACAAGCGTAAACTCCCACTCCTTGCTGGTAGTATCGCCATCATCGTCGCTATCATCATTGTTTCTCCTCCGCACGCTCTGCGCCGTGACCTCAACCTCGAGTCCTCCCTCGTTCTGTTCTTGGCCCTCCCAGCGCCATATTCCAGCTGTAGAGTCAAAACTGCCAGTGACGAGACATAGGTTGCCGGGGCGCAGATGGGGCTTCCATGCGACAGAGCGGACGGAGCGGGTGTGGCCTCCGTTAAGGACGCTGTGGGCGGAAGCAGTCGAGAGAGAGAACACAGTGACGGCCTTTCCGTGGGCGGTTGCGATCAGAGGAAGAGTCGGGTGAGGAACCGAAGCCCAGGCGCGTTCGTGAAGGTCAGGTTTGAGGGGCGTGAGGGCAGTGATGGAGGCCGAAGTCGGCGCCATGATGAGCGAAGCCGCGAGGGCGAGAGGGCAATTGACGACGGGCGATGGAGATTTCAATGTTTGAGAGTCTTGGTCGGCTGGATTAGGCTGTCAAGGCAATAACCAAGAAAGAGTTGAGGTGGTGAAGTTTAACAGTTCATTTGAGCATTTCCCCTCCTTTGGCCAAAAAGTTGACAATGTGATTAATGGATGATGGATGGGGGGGTTGAGTGATAAGATAAGGAGGTAGTACAGTACCTAAGATTCCATACCTACCTAGTAGCGAGAGCCCCTCCATTGTTACCTAGTAGGTTGAGCCAGTGACGTACTGAGCATGGATCTGGGTAGACTCAAGTTAGGCACCCTAAGATACCTACCCTACGTTGATCAAGTCGCATAAAAGAAGCAAATAACTACCGCATCAATTTTCACAAAATGACGGATGGATACTTAGATACTTCACTAGGTATACATACACAACAGATCTAAACAACCTTTGACCTGATCCACAACCAAGCCTCCTTCACATCACCTCCAGGCCTCAAGTTCTGCTCCCTTGCTCTCTCGAGACCCCCCTTTCTGAACCCTCCTGGAAGGAGAAGCCATACCAGAGTGATAGCACCAAGGAGCCCGACTATTATAGGCTGTAGAACCTGAACTCCGGTCTTTTGCGCAATTGCACCAACCGCGAATGGTCCCACAGCTGCACCGCCTCCTCCGACCGCAGCCGCGAACCCGATGGCACTGACGTGATAATCAGCTGGGAGTAACTTGGTTGCAGCAACCATGGCAGCAGGGAACAGAGGCCCCAGGAAGAACCCAAGAAGCATGACGAAGATGACGGAGGCGACGAAGTTGGGGACGAGCCAGTACAGCAGTTCCAACCCCATGGAGAGCACAAGATAGACCATGATGGCCGTCTTCTCACCAGTCCTCTCTGTGACGAAGCCCAAAACAACCCGACCCAATGTCAGCCCGAGCCAGAACAGTGTCACTGTCAGGCCAGCAAGGAAAGGTTTGGCATGTCGTACTCGAAGCATGAAAGTGACGATCCAACCCCCCAAGCTGACCTCAGTCGCAACGTATCCCAGGAGGAAGACGGCCACTATCCAGGTGATGTGTTTCTTGAGTGCCATGCGTGTTGTTGCACGGTCTTTGGCTTCGTCGTAGCGAACTCGCTGTCGATACACTTGGCCGGTTGCACCCCAGAACGCGGCTGTTCCGACAACAAGCTCAACCACAGCAAGTCCTATCATGATATAGTAGAAGGTGTACCAGTTCAGTTTCCCCTCAGTGACCATGGCGGACGCGATCAGAGGGCCAATGGTACCACCGAGGCCATAGGCGCCGTGGAGGAAACCCAGGAGCTCGTTGGCTCTGTGCATGTTGCCAATCCAGGCATTGTAGCCGCTATCTTGGATGCCGTTACCGAAGCCAGTAAACAGCATCACACAGGGTAGCGCTGGGAATGGAGGGTGAAGTGCCACGGGAATGTAGGCGGCGAGACGACAGAGGGGCCCAAGAACTGCAACGCCTCGTTGGCCTAGGGTGTAGTGTATCCAGTTGTTGGTGAGTGCGGCGACTACATAACCAGCTACGGGTACGAGAAAGAGAGTAGAGAGGGTGGTGTAGTTGATGCCATAGTATGTCTCGATCTATTCATTCACATTAGAGATGACTAGTAGTAGACGATTCAGTACAAGACACGCACATATGGCAGCAGAGCCTGTGCGTGGGCAGGTGTAGTAGTTAGTGGACCGAGTCAGTCTGGCAGAGGCAGTAACTTGACCTACCCCTGGAGATGCATCATTCATGCCCATGATGAGAAATGAGAAATTGGTGGCATAGTAACGATACGAGTTTATTCGAGGGCTGTTCCAATGCTCAAGTTCATTGATCGACTCTCCGCTGTCGGGCTGCTGCATGGCCTCCACAGAGCCCAGCTTCTCTTCTAACTCGTCGTCATGATGATTCTGTTGTTGAGTTTGCTCTATCTGGCAAGATTTCGAGTTCGAGTTCATTGAAGGGTCAATAATAAGCTTGAACGTTGATTCTGGTTGATTTTGTAGTACAAATATGTTTGTCGGAAGAGATATGAAGTCTCTTCATACGAGACCGCATTCCACATACATGATGCTACTATATAAGTACCTACCTACCTATTGGACACGACACGAGGTAGGGTAAATTTCTCGCTAGAATGAATAACGCATTGGATGCAGCCGTTTGGGTACAGTACCTAGTACCTACCTACCAGGCCTACCTTAGTACCCACTGAGAGATCCATAATTGATCTGCCAGTTGAGTTAGGTTGAGCATCCATCCAATCCAATATTGACTCTTGTTTAATAATAAGGTCGGGTGCTGGAAACCTGTGCGGGATAACGGGACGGTAGCCCGAAACGTGCTGTGATTACAGGTAGGTCCCTACCTTATTTGACCACGCAAGTCAGTAGACATCAGCGGAACCATTCCTATATATCATCTGTGGGTGATACTCGGGGTCGTCAAACAGCTCAAGGGAAAAGAGACTCTCGGAGAATTCTCCATCATCAATCACAATGCACGTGTTGAACTGAGGCTGTGTAACAACCTAGTACCTACCTAATGATGAGATGAAATGCTACGCCACACGCGGGGTCTTTTACAACGTCATCGGCCTCCCCAGGTCAGTTCAGTTGTTGAGTTGAACGGGAGGCGGCTTAAAATACGACATCCATTTGAAATGCCCAACTGTATGTACCTGCCTACCTTACAGGGCGTGTACAGTATTTGTCCCGTCCTCATAAGGCTGACGTACGTCCACCCGTTGAGTTAGGGTGCCTCACATCAGCCACATAATATAAGCTTCCAACTTCCCCTCCTCTACGGAGTATACCTACTTGCCTTACAACAGAACCAACCGTCTCGCTAGGTCTGCGTCGCTTTACACTTACTTGTAGACCCCCCTCCCTTGGCCTTACCCACCATACAATGTCAAAAGACTACTACGAGTACGAAGAGTACTCTCGTCGCCGACGTGACCTTTCTCCCGACAACTATTCCGGTGGTGCCCCAGGATCTCAGCAACAAGGCCCTCCTCCTCCTCCTCCCCCTCCTGGCGCTCCTCCTTATGCCTCAACCTCCCGTCTTGATGATCCTTACTACGGCGGCATGCCTCCTCCTCCGCGGGAGCGCATGACCCTCGAGCCTCCCGAGTCACAGAACCGCCCACGGTCTGTCCCACCAAACACCACCATGGTCCGACGCAGCCGCTCTCGTTCCCGTCCTCCATCGGACGACGACGACTATGACGACAGACAGAGCTCGCGAAACCGCTCACAGAGTCCCATTGCCCGCGCTCGGAACGTCGTTGATGAGAACTTCTCTCATTCCGCCGGCGGCATCGGCGCCGGTATCTTAGGAGCTGTCGTTGGTGGTCTTGTAGCTCGCGAGGCGACTGAAGCTGCAACACGCCGCAAGCACAAGACTCGAGGTTACGAAGACGAGAATGAGGACCGCACTCGTCTCGTTTCCACCATTCTCGGCGCTGTCGCCGGTGGCCTAGGAGCCAATGCTCTCGCCAATAGGGTTGAAGATTCTAGGGAGCGAGACCGACGACGCCAACTCGACTGGGAGCGTGAGCGCAGCTACGTGCGCGAGCAGGAGATGCCCCGTTATGAGCAACGGAGATCCAGTGACCGTGACAGAGAGGACGACCGCCGCGATCGTGACCGTGACCGGTATGATCGCGGCAGGGCACTACCCCAAAATGATGATGATGATTATGACTTCGTCTACGATGATCCGCGATACGAAGATCGAGAACCTAGGCGACGTAGAAGCGAGGACAACTACCGCTATCGCCAATAGTCGATCCTTCTTTTTACCCCTCGACAACCTATTACTGCTTCATTATGACGTCTCACGATAGTATTACTTTGGTTATTTTCTTCTTGTTTTCTTATTCTCTTGGTTTATGTTGAGTGACGTTTTAAAATTTGCGAGCAGTACTAGAAGTGTTTTTCATTACCACAGGCTAAACCATCAATCTGGATATCAACTTTTGGGGGATCTCACGAGAACATGACTTGGCGCCTCTTGGATATTTACATAGTCGATACAGCTCTGTTTCTAAAGTGCTTACGGTGTCATGTATGGTTTCATGTACCTATGGGAGTCCTCGTTGGCGAATTCTGGGGTTACTTCTCGTATCGATTTTACAATACATTCGCACATCATGATAAGGATTACCGCAGCCGAATCACCTGTCCTGTTTGCAACACTCCAAGTCCATGATGACGTGCTGTCCAACCAATTCAACTCAATCGAAAGCAACAAGACCAAAACCATGACTTGTCACAAGTAACAAGCCCATTCAATCATATTCCTTCCTGAACCGCTGTCCACCGTCGCTCGCCCCGGTTGCTGGAGTCCCTGCCATTGCCTCCAGTGTGTTCTCGGACATCCTGCTCTCGCTCCACGATCACCTTGAAGAACTGAGCTATATCAGCAAGCGCGCGCTGCTGATAGTCAGGGACATCAAGCATTTTGAAGGTTGACTGGGTGTCGACCAACTGCTTCGCAATTACAGAATCTGGCTGGCAAAGTGTTCGGACGCACATTGCTCGGGCATTGACCTTCATGGCGTGCAGGAGTCCGCCAATCTCAACAGGATCGGCTTGTCGGCGGCCATAGAAGCGAAAATCGTCGACGTGCAAGTTGATAAGTTCAAGCTGCGTCTCCAGGTCGTAGCGGAAACCAACAACCTTTGGTCGGCCTTTGTTATGCCACGCATCTGCTACCTTCTTGAGCTTGTCAGGCACAAGCCGACCCTTGTCCAGTTGCACCGTAATATAGTCATTAAATGCAGTGCTCAGGTTGAACTCCAGTTCGCAGTAGAGAAGGCTTTGCTCTCTGGCATTTAGTGAAATGGCGACCTGTGATGTCCGGCGAGACCGGATTGCGGGCTGCGCCCGACGAGAGGTATAATGAAGCTCCGTCTGCGGCTGAGTTAGTACAAATATCTGACGCTGTATTTCACCGACATACCATGTCTTTTGCGAGTTTCTTGATGTTGTCCAAAATTCCGGTCTTCTTCTGGGGCGTCTTTGCGCTTTGATCAGGGCCGCCGTCAGGGCGTTCGAGCCACCCGTTATCCCCAATCATTATTTTTTCGCCCTTCTTGGAGCTTGGGTAGTCTGTCCCTCTGAAATAGAATTGCAGTGGTGAGAATACGGGAGTGTCTTGGACAGCCCGACGATAGTTGCCGTTATTAGAGCCCACTGTTACGACTTGTGGGATCGGTGGAGAGTGCACTGCCATGGCTCGAGCCTGTCTCAGTCCATCGGCAGAGCTCTTCGAGCGTCGAGGCCTATTGACTAGATCCTCTGGATGGCTTACCGACTCCCTGATCATGGAAGAATCATGGGTCCTTTTCCACTCTTGAAAGGAGCCCTCTCCAGCACCATTGAATCTGGATTGTGACCTGGCGTGGCTGAGGCGAAGAGGTGATGGGCGGGCAGTTTGTTGAGGGGAGTAGACCGAAGAGGTATCATCGTCGAAGATCGGCTCGCGCTCAAAGCTCCCCTGCCCCAAAGGAGAGACTGAATCGGGAATATCTTCCATCTCGGCTGGCCGAGGAACTGCCCCACTACGACGGAGATTCCCAAGCTGCAACGGAGAAGGCGGGTTGATATGTCGACGTTCTGCTAAACTGGCAGAGAACAAGTCCTTGGAAGAACCCGAATGGCGACCGGGCATAAGCTCCGAAAAGGTTGGAGAACTCACATCAGAGGGACCATCTTCTCTAGTAGTCCAACCGTATGATTCCTCATGCTGTAGAAGTCTTGGTTTGTTCTTTCGTGGTGTTGACCTTGGAGTTGACCTTGGAGTGGTTCTTGGAGTGGTCATCGTAGACTTTTTCTTGAACTTAGCGGCCTTGGTTGGGCTCTTATCGACTTGATGACTGAAACTTCAGGGAAATTAGTGGGAAATATAGATTAATAGAAACATATGACATACGCGTCCGTAATCTTGTCAACTTGGCTCTCAGTCAAGTTCATGCGAATATGAAGGGGTTGCTTGACAAGACGCTTGCGCGGAGATAGCGAACGCGCTCGCGACTCGAATTCTGGCGAGATATCCAGGAAGTCTCCTCTCAAAGGCGTCAATACAGATGCTGAAGGGTCAGAGTAGCGCCCTCTAATCGAACTGTCTTGTTGCATCGAGTCCAGAATCTTCGGATCCCAGTAGCTACTTAACAGTAGCTCCGAGTAATACAGGTCGATGGTGACATATCACGGTGGAGGTTCAGGTAAAGTACTGGAATGAAAGCCCGGAGGGAGAAGAAATGCTAGCAGGGTGAATAAATGAATGAATGAGTGAGTGAGTGAATGAATCAGGGACTTCGGATGGACCAGTTGAAACCTTGGGTGCTGAATTGTGCCCAGCTGGCAACAAGTGTCAACGATAATGTAACACTCACGATCCTCTGCCGCGATTTTGGGAGTCCTGTACCGCCTTATTGGAGTCTTACTCATGCTACCTTGCTGTTGAACTAATCCATAAGTCCCCAGCAAGGCTTTTCGGAGATACTCACCTCGTCTGCTTGTCACAATTTAACACACCATACAACACCGTCGGGAATATCAATCGAACTAATGAGAGCGGTGTTTCCATCTGTAATCGATGCCACTGTCGAACCAAAGCTGAGGTGTGAAAGGGCCGTGGAACCTCAAGGAGTTTAACACCTCTTTTGTTGACGAGGCAGTTACCATATCCATTGCTTTATCTTCGGCGACTGGCAGCTCTCTTATGAAAGGTGGAAGCGACCTGTCGTTGGTGAACAACCCAAACTTCCTTGCAAAGTTGGCGTTGGGTATTTCGCAGTCCCTGACCTGAGCATCGAACTGCTGTTTGAATGCTTCATGGGCCATAATGATGGAATGATTATCTTGGACCAGCGCAGGCTCTTGATTCTCACTCTTTCCGCTTCCTTTGTCTATCACGCGGAACATATGTATGATTTGGGTTATCTTTTCCGAACTGATGATCTTGGAGCTTAGTGATCGACGGTGATGACCACGCTCAGTCTGTGCCTGATGCTTTTCCGTGGCTCTCCTTTTGGGTAGTTCGCCGAGGTCAATTGACTTTTCACCGACCAGTCTGCCCTTATGAATCGTATTCTCATTCCATTGCATCTCGTGAAACTCTCTGGCCTTGAGCTGACGAAACGCACGGGTACCCCCGTCGCGAGATGAAACATACATTGTATGTTCTATCATCCAGCTCTTTCGTATACCGATACCACTTGGGTAAAGCGATGACCTTGCTATTATAGGTGAGTAGTCTGAAAGCCGAGTGCGATATCTCTGAGGGTGGCTTTTCCTCCAGTCTATCAGGGCAGTTGTTGGTATAATATTGGACGTGACAGTTGTGAGGTGCGGGACATGAGGGAGTTCGAGATCAGTCTGCTCCTTTTGTCAGAACTAATGGTTGCCATGAGTCCATTGAGGGATTCCCCACATGTCTGTTCAAGTGATCATGTCTCCAACGCTGAAATGCTGCACCTGGGTCATCCGAATGATGGCAATCGACTTCAATCATCTCGTAGAGTACGCCTCCTGCGTACCCAAGGAACTCATCGCCAAGGTGGTCTCGTAAAACTAGGAAGACCTAAATCACGTCAGAAAGCATTCTTTGTCGTTGTAGGGGCATCTGACAAGCCTAATTCCATCACGGTACTGGTAGTTGCGAGGTATGTGGGCGCAATATCTCACAAGAACGTTGCGGCATTCTGCGAGGTATCTGTTAGTTGACGTTTTAAGTTTATCTCATGCCTATACTGACTCTCTCCGTCAAAGATATCTGTGATATTCAAGGACCGGTCTCTTGCGAGATAGGCAGAAAATTGTGTGGTATCGCCCATTCCCAATATCGCTTGGTCTTGAATAATCGTTCGTTCAAGTCCGAATAGCAGCTTACAAGCCTCTCAAGGGTGTGATTCGCAAAATATATCGCGTTTCGACATTCAACATGTGAATCTTTTAATTTGTTGTACGTGGAAAATCACAGGGCAAAGGTGGCGAACCTAATGGAAGGGACATCTTGAGGTTGTGCTCCCAGTGCAACAACACTCGTGATACATACCTACCTACATCGCCTGCGGCTATTGAAAGAATAGCGACTTCCATTTTCGAATACTCGGCACTTGACACACAACAGGGAAGTTCAAAGGCAGAGTTCCTTCTCCATTACCTGGCCTTTAGGGTAGTCATATATACAGCTTTGGTAAAGCTCAGGAAATGGTTCATTGAGGCAGGAGAGCAACTCTATATCAAAGGTGGTGTCACGTAGGTTGCTGGGCTTTCCAGTATAGAAATACCTGGGTAATTAAGTCGATGGGAAGACTCCTTCTCGCGCACTCACTCAATGAAGGCTACCTAGGTATCACATAGAGAGAATCATCACAGTCAAATCTTCCAGTCCAATATGGCGAGCGGAATTCCTTACACACCGTAAATTGGGAACAGGAACAGGACCAGGACCTTCATGTCTTCATTCAACACAACCCCAGTCCATTACTAACGCCAGACCGTTCATTGTCAGGTAGGACTGGATCTTGGAGAAATGAGATCTCGGCCTCCTGCCCGGCATTCGAAGGACCCACTCCCGGGCGCTGCAATGCGACCCAATGCACGGGTGCAGTTAAGATATGTTAAGATGCTGCAGTATTTCAAGGCCCGATACTAACAGGCTCCATCGTTCCCCGGCGCCCCTGTAACCGAGACAAAAGCCGGACCCGGTTGCGGCTTCCCGAAATCAACTCCCGATTTCCCAAATAGGCAGTCTCGATTCCCTGGTCTCCTCTTCGCCCCAGAAACCCCCCCACACTCAAGACAGCTCGACCCCATGACGACAAGTGATTATTCGTCTCGCCAAACCACGAAGCGGATATTTTCCGTTGGCTAGAACATTTCGGCCAGAATCTCTATCTAAAAACAATGCGCCATACAGCAGATATGCACTCCACATCCCGTACCGAAGTCTGATGCCGTCAATTCCCCTCGGGTCTGAGTCGCACCGGACTTCTGCTTACTGCATGTCCGGCCAGACCCCCGGCATCTCTGGATATCATGCCTATCGCATTTAGCATATAATATGCGACCCCCCATCAACTCTGCTTCTTGTCTCCTCAGATTGATCACACCAGTAGATACCTGACCATCCAACCCACGCCTCTTCTTCTACTACACAATGTCTCAATCACAGCCCGATCGCTCCCCATACTATGACATTGGTGAGTAGTCTGACGCTGTTGGCCATACCAACCAATTGAATTCTGACATCGCTAGTCATTGTTGGAGCTGGCCCGGTTGGCCTCATGCTCGCAACATGCCTTGCTCGCTGGGGCTACAAGATCAAGCATATCGATAACAGAGCTGAGCCAACACCTACCGGTCGAGCTGATGGCATTCAGCCACGCTCTCTGGACCTTCTTCGCAACATGGGCTTGAAGTCAGCAATCATGGCTCATCACCCAGCTCGCGTCTACGAAGTGGCCTTCTGGGATCCGGCTTCGTCAGGAAAGGGTATCGCCCGGACTGGAACATGGGCCAGCTGCCCTGATTTTATCGATGCTCGATACCCTTTCACAACCTTGTTACACCAAGGTCTGATCGAGCGTGTCTTCATCTCCGACCTTGAGAAGAATGGAGCACAGGTCCAACGGCCATGGACAATCAAGGGATTTACATCTGATGAGAAGTCCAACCCCGAATACCCTGTCACTGTCGAATTGGAGCATGTCGACGGTACTGCCCAGGAGACCATTCACGCCAAGTATCTGTTTGGTGGCGAGGGTGCAAGGTCATTTATCCGCAACCAGCTTGGCATTGCCGTCCACCACAAGGATCCCATCGCTCATGTTTGGGGTGTCATGGACGGCGTCGTGAAAACCGACTTCCCTGATATCAAGGTAAGCTGAGTTGCTCAACATGCCTTATTTTATGGTTTACTGACGACGCTCAGATGAAATGTACCATCCATAGCGAGCACGGCTCCATTATGGTCATTCCGCGAGAGGACAACATGGTCCGTCTTTATATTCAGATTGCATCGTCTACAGATGCCGATTGGAACCCCAGACGAACAGCCACCGAGGAGCAAGTGCAAGAATCGGCAAAGAAGATCTTGCAGCCTTATTCTATTGAGTGGGAGCGTGTCGAGTGGTACTCCGTCTATCCTATCGGACAAGGCATCTCAGAACGATACACTCTGGACCAGCGAGTCTTCCTTGGTGGAGATGCTTGCCATACACATAGTGTAAGTCCTCCCGTGCTCCAACTATCACCACGCGCTGACACACCCCACAGCCCAAGGCCGGCCAGGGAATGAACACAGCATTCCTTGATGCTCAGAACCTTGCTTGGAAGATCCACGCAGTTGAATCTGGTTTCGCCGGCAGGGAAGTCCTCAAGACATATGAAACCGAACGCAAGCATGTCGCTGAGTCTCTCCTCGATTTTGATAACCGATATGCGAAGCTTTTCTCTCAGCGACCACCCGCGGCTGCTGAGGTCCAGGCAGCGTCAGCCAACCATGGCAAGAACGATGTTCAGGATAACGAGTTCATCAATGCTTTCAAGGAGTCGTGCGAGTTTACCAGTGGATACGGTGTTTACTACAAGCCCAACGTCTTCAACTGGTCACCAGAACATAATGCACAATCCCCACTGATTCACCCCAAGGGGACTAAGCTACGAACCGGCCGCCTTTTTATCAACTCTAATGTAACAAGAGTAGTTGACGCCAATGTTGTGCATTTGGAGCAGGAAGTACCCCTGAACGGCGCGTTCCGATTGTTTGTCTTTGCAGGTGTCCCTTCGAAGACCCGCCAGGCTTTGAAAGATTTCGCCAATCATCTCGGTAGCCAGCGGTCGTTCTACGCAGCTTATCAGCGGCCCGATCTCGACAAGGTCTCATACCATGAGAAGCATCTCCCACACAGCCGATTCTTTACCATCTCCACGATTTTTTCGTCCAAGAGACCTGAAATCGAAATCTCTCGCGATGTGCCTGGAGTACTTGCCCGATATAGGGACCATGTTTATGCTGATGATCGTTCCGATGCACGATTCCCTCAGGCGAAGGCTGTAGCCCATGCCAAAATGGGTCTTGATGAAGAGCTTGGCGGAGTGGTTGTTGTCAGACCTGATGGATATGTAGCAATTGTGGTCAGCCTTGTCGAAGGTAGCGGAACAGTGGATGCTTTGAACGAGTATTTCTCGACCTTTTGCACAAAGAAGTTGGGACCTACTTTGGCACAGTTGTAGGGGTTGGAGATTGTTGACCCAAAAGGGTGTCGAGACACGCTGATTTGATGTAAATGATGACTTTAGCGAATGTACATATACAGTGTTTAGATCATCCTACAATTGAAATTACCTACTCCATAAGTATACAAAGTAAAGAATTTCTTGACGAAGCGATTGACAGGTGGCCATGTGTCTCTTCCCTACAAGAAACTCAGCAAATCAATCGCGAACCCTGCCATTGCGTATCCAGAGGCGCCAACGAAATCCAATAACCTCAGACATAGGGGTGAGCGATCGAGGGTCCTGCCTCTAAAGAACAATTATAACGTCAAAAGTTAGCATTGATTTACATACTGGTCTTTGTCCTACAATTTCTTGGCTTGAGCCCACCTATTCTGGGAACCATTTACTATACTAACTTACCAGGGGTAGATTCATAACTCGACGGATAGAACAAGGGGTCTTCGTCCTTGTTTTTTTTTTTTATTTTAGTTGCAAGATCTTGTTTAGGTTGGACAGCCCGGTAGTTTTATACAGTCTCAGAATCGATCAACTGAAATCTGTTCCAACGTCTCACTCCATCAAACCTTACCATCGCGCGCTCAGAAGACCCATTTCAGGTAACAGCAGTATTCGTCACTGTCGTTTCCATCATGCTGGGGTAAATAATCGGCTCCTGAGGTCATCCAATTCTACCTACTTGATACCTTAGGTGGTAAGGTAGCGATGTGAATTTGACCAATCGCGGCGACGTCACGCGTGGCCCCACCTGACCTGTCAGTGCGGGCGCACTGACCTCCATCTGCACGTCCTGAGAGGCTGAAAGACTTCACGTCTTTCAACTGACCACTGTAGGCAACCTTCCACAGGACATCATCCCCTATGGGCTTGCGTGGTCGTGATGGCATCACCGGACCGATTTGGATAAAGGAGACCTAATTGGGAAGTGGCTGTAGCAACTCGACGCGACGCCATTGTCGTCGCACTCACGCGTCTTGGGCCCGAGCTCGAGTGATCTGGCGTGGTAGAATAACGAACTCGATTCTTCGACTCGAACCCTCCTCCTTTCTTCTTCCAACCATCAACATCAACTGCATCTTCGATCAGCTTCATTCTGACTCGTTCGTAACTTCGATTCTTGTAAGAATATTTTCGCATTGGCTTCGCAGCTTCCCGATTTCTTTCGATTCACCGCTCGTACTTTACACTTAACACTGCTCGATACTGCTCAACACTGCTTGACACTTGCTGGCACCTGCACCACGGTTTGCATCTGCTTTATTGTCACTGCGATACAATACAACAACAGCACGTTGCTGGCTGCTTTGTTGATATCGCATTTCCCTGTCGGCTGTTTACTTCTTTCCTCGTTTTCCAACTGGATCGCGATAACTTCATTTCACCACTTCACTTCACTTTTCTTCTTTCACGAACGCTACTGCTTCGTCTGGACCAAGTTCCACATTCCACTTTCTATTATCACTTCAAACCCAATATTTCGCTCGTCATGTCTTTCTCGCTTCAATCGCGCATTTCGGTCCACCAGTCCGCTAATCAAAGGGGAAGCTACGTGCCTTCGCATATCGTGGAAGCTGCCCAAAGGCGACGGGAGCGACAGCAGCTCCAAATCATTTCCAAGGCTAAGGCAACTACCCAGGTCCAAGTCTCCCTGCCTTGGCCAAAGGTTGAGTTTGTTACTCCTCCCAGGCAGATCAGGCGCCCTACTGCGCGTCTTTTGATTGACTCACCACTTCCGCGCCGCGAGATTTTTCAAGATCCCGTTCTTCACCAAAGATTCATTGACACAGAGTCTCCCCCCAATCTTGATCGTTACAGCAATCAAAAACCTCGACCTAAACCACAGGCCGAAACTGTCAATACAAATGACGGTGCCCCCAGCACACCCACACCCAAAACTTCCACTACCTCTACCTCTATCTCTGACCCCAATTTTGTTGTTGTCGATGGCATACAGACACGCAAGCGTCGCGCCGAAGATACTGAGATCGACCTTGTTGCCGCACAAATCGGTGTCACTGACACTTCCTCCCCTATCATTACTCTTCGCCAAGGAGAGACTGTTCCTAGCGAGGAATCTGGCCAACAGGCCCATGTAAGCGCATCTCTCTGTTATTTGCATGCTTGCCCTTACTAACCTGATATTGTAGACCTCTAGCCGCATGCTCGGAATTACAACAGGAGCCAGATCTATCACCAGGATGATATCTAGCCTCTATTCGGCCTTCACAGGCATTGGTGAGACGATCACCAGAATCTGTACGTTTCAGCCTCCCCATGACATTGACAACCTTGTGTTCTTTCTGTTCTAACTCGTTACTAGTACGACCTCAGTCCTATCAAATTGCAGAATGTCGCTCTTACTTGAGTGAAAACCAAGTCAGCAACAAGCGTGTCAAGATTAGCACCAGTTGTGAGGACAACGCGGTCTCCAACACAGGCGCTCCTGGCCAGAGTGCCGGGCTCCGCTGGATCGACCAAGATGGCCTTACCACATTGCTGGCTGACTACAAGTACTTCTCCAAGTCTTTCATGACAGTCTGGGAATGCCTCGAGCAAGGAGCCCGACAGGAAGCAAACAAAGACCTGGCACCCCTGAGCACCGACATAGTCGATGCCGCCAATCGTTCTGACGCGTTAAACCATGACTTTTATGATATCTTCACTTTGCAACTGCAGAGGATTTACGACTACTTGGACAGAATCTACGAAGTCGGCGTTATCGTCAAAATTCGAGACAACAATGAATTTGTTCCTCCTATTCTTGACTACGGACTCTCTACAGAGTTCGCCGCACACCTCGAATCGATGAAGCACTTTCTATCCGGTCCCGCGCTTCCTGTTGTTTGCAACAATATTCTCAAGAAGTATGGGGAAGATTACTGGAACGTTTCACAGGCATTCCTGGATCGAGTTGTGCTTGATATTAAGGCTATCCTTCGCAACCTTCCTGCCCCAAGCTATGTCGACTCTGAAGAGTATCGTGGCAAGCTGCAGGACATGTTCCCTACCCCACCACGAACTGACCTCGAGACGCGTTTCTTATTGCCAGGATCATTTCCTGAATCCGATGAGCTTAAGAAGCAAATCGACACAAAACCTGATGAACAAACTGCTTCGACCACTGAGGCAGTAGCTGCAAAACTCGCCGTTCAGGCTATTCTGCCTGAGCCAGTGCCATCGTATCCTCGCCCTGATGTCCCTCGCCCCCACTACTACAAAACAGACTTTCTTCGCGCTGGGTTTGCTCATGAGAAGATCAAGCGGATAACACCCGCGGATTATCGCCAAACCTTTTATGAGGAAAGCAACGAACATCAAACCTTGAAGACCAAATACATCACCGAATTCACTCCTAAGGTTCCTCTTACCTCAAATGAAACCGGAACTCTCCGATCTATTCTTCGGAATCGACGAAAGCATCCGTCAAAGGTCACGCCCAAGCGTCTTCGCGTAACAGGTCGACCCAAGGCTGTACGCTTTACAGACGACACGATCAGTCCGAAACCAAGAACACGTCTAGGCCTAGATGTGCCAAAACAGATTAACTATGACCAGGAAACGGGAGAGGCCATTCCCCCGACCCAGGCATTTCAGGAGCAACGCCCTCATTGGACTCGTGGATGGCTCAACATACCACCTGCTCCCGCCGAGGAACCACCCAAAAAGACCACATTTAATCCTTTGAGCATTGGTGAATGTCTCCGCCGTCGCCGCTTAGAAGAACACGATGGACGTGACTTTCATACGCGTATCAAAGAGATATTTGAGCTTCCATCCATTGACCTCCAGATCAGTGACGACTCAAGGGCCAGAATTGACCATCAAGTCCAAGAGGCCACCCTGAAAGCTGCTGAAGAGGCTCGTTTGGCTGCCGAGGCAGTGCAGCTTGAGGCGGAAGAAAAGGCTCGGAAAGAGCGCGAGGAACGCCTCGCTCGATCTGGAGGACTTCGCGAGCCTAATCAGACATTCGTTGCCCCAGTCTCGCCAGAATGGCACACAAGGGCAATGAACACACTCAATGCTGCATCGTCCACGAGCCTTGCGAAGTCTGCCGAGGGTGTCGACCTCCGAAAACACGATTTTGCCAAGATCGTGTCCTCAACTGAATGGCTAAATGACGAAATTGTCAACGCGTCTCTTGTCTGGCTCGATCGAGCTATCAACTCAGCTGCCGGCATTAAGGATGTCAAGCGGAACACGCGCAAGATCTGGACTCCGGGCTCATTCTTTTTTAAACGCCTTCAAGATCAGGGTACCGGCAATACCCAGAGGACCTTGCGCCGATACGGCATCGAGAAGAGGAATTTCCTCGACATCGACACTATTCTCTTACCCATTTGCGAACATTCGCACTGGACATTACTCGTTATTCGGCCCTCCAAGCGAACTGTTGCCCACATGGACTCGATCAATGCAGGTGGCAACCGTTCTTACACCGCGCGTGCCATGGCGTGGATCCGAGACATTTTGGAGGAAAAGTTCGTTGAGGATGAATGGAAGACCATTCTCCACGAGGCTCCTCTACAGAACAATGGCCACGACTGCGGTGTTCATACTATCACTAACGCCATGTGCCTCTCCTTGGGCATTAGTCCTATTGAGGCATACACTGCTGACGACATGCCCACTCAACGCATTCGCATTGCTTGCATGCTTCTCAACGGCGGGTTCACGAATGATTTTGACCTGCGAGCTTATTAGGTTTCCAATACCACGTATCGGATAACACTTATCAAACATAGACTACTTTATCATGGCTTATGGAAGGGGCAGGCATGGCTTTTTTGTACAAGGCGTTCAGGCAGAGGAAGTACCGGGGACAGTACCGGGAAAAAGTGTTTCGGGTGAGATACCACTGCATTGCATTCATTGTCGGAGTTATAGCTATTATTTGATCCACGAAGGAACGACTGTTGGTCTAGCCTAGCCGCAGTGCTGGATGAATAAGTACATAAATACAATTCTCATTAGCCAATTTTCTCTGCTCTGTATTATGAAGCATTCTCGTGATTAGGTGCCTAGCCCATGATAAGACTTGGTGTTTCTTGTGACTGTTTTATAGAAAACATGAATCACCTTCTAAACTCCCTTGCTTACGAGGCTTGCATTTGCGTGTTATCACAAATTTTCTCGTGTTAACCACTGGTCTGCCGCAGACAGCAACCGGGGTATGCTGTGAGTGGCTTGTAAATAATCACAAACCTGAGAAGACAAGACCTGATGGGTTCTGTGTGCTTTTGGGCAGTCTCGAGAGAAGCGTGAGCCAAGAACTACATGACGAAGGCGACGATCACGCAGATTTCTGGGCCATTAGCGTGCCGTTATAATATTCCGCATTCCCTTACGTACAGTTGCTAACTCGTCAGCCATAAGCGAGCGTCATAAACGAGCGTCAGAGACAACAGCAACAACGGGTCTGTGATGCCATCCCCCACAACACCACAAGCCAAGTGGGCGATACGTGGGCCTCTGAATCTATTGGGACTGTGGGATCAAAGTCGTGTCGTGTCGTCCCCTCTCTTACTATTCTATTACGCCGAGGTCGGCCATCGATAAGTTTTGGTGTCACCATCTGACCCTTCGCTTGGACGATCGAATGGAATGGTTGGGTCGAATTGAGGAATTTCTCGTGGCCCAAACATGTGTCAACAGTAGGCGCCTGAGCCGGCGCTTCTATTCGGGAGGACAAATGTAGCAAAACTTGGTGATTCGCTCAACTCGGTATGGCTATAGACAAGAAAGGACAAACCCAAAGGCCCTAGAAGAATAGAACCTTCATTCAGCCACAGCACAGGCACACTGTCCACCTTGGTGGCCCTCAAGACGAGGACAGCTCAGATGTGCTGTCAGAGAGAAAGTTCGATCCAACAGAAAGGATTCTGGGTAAAGTGCTAGCACCTGACCAACCGCCGCCCTCTGTTGACAATAGTGGAAGAGAGATCACAGAAGGCTTGGCATTTGTTGGTGGCTCGCATAGGACTCATGGAGACCCTTGGAAAAGCTTGGCAATGGGATTCTACAAAGACTGTAGCAAACAGATTCCGACAAAGAAAGGCCGGGTCTACCAGGGGCGTTCGAGTAGAACTAACTGATAACTTGGACGTTCGTTCCACCAAGCCCAAAAGCCTTGACATACCCAAGGCCCATGCAAAGCGGCGTGCATGCTTGTTAAGTTGGCTCAGGAACTTGGGGCCATTCGAAATAAGGTAGGTATCGCATCCATGGCCACGGTACGCCGACACTAATAGGCGCGTGGTGATCCAGGGTCCTCAGCCGCAGGGCACTATTCAATATGTGGAAGCGGTCTTGCCACAGGCAATGCACCAGAAAGAGGCGGATCGAGAAATAGGCCCGTCGATATCCACGCCCTAAGTCAGTGACGATGGCCGGCAAAAGGGTTCTGTTTGCTGGTTTGTTGGTCATACGCGCGGTTTGCTGTAGACGAACCGGACTTCGATAAGTCAGATGCCTGTCTGCTTGTCTGTCTGTCCTGAGTGACACGATCTGTATCTTACCAATCGGGGCAGTGCGAAACGATGTTACCCTTGTCAACTTTTACCACCTGTTGGATTGAACTTATGGGTATCGCATCGCGTCCACAACTACCGATAGTTACATAGCGACTCTGTGTACGCAGGCAGGCTACGGAGTTGGTCCGCCCGATCATCGCTGATTCTTCTCACGATCCTTCTAGCGATGCGGACCGATCTGGGAAAGAATTAGAGATGCCAGGGATACGACATCATATTAAATGTCGCAAATATACACGGCGTCGTCCGCTTACTGGGCCGCGCGCTGTTTTGGGGGGGGGGGACCTTTGCATTGGATCGCATAGCGACTTCGCCAGGCATCGATTGTATCGCGTCTAGTCTGTTCGTCAGCAATGTGAGGCGGTGCGATATAACTCTTGTAAAGAGACGACGGCGCCAACGGCATCCTCTTCTGATGCCCGTAGGCAGGGTCCCGACTCATGTCTCCAGCTTGGGTGCGAGATGCCTGTGTCAAGCAAGCAAGTTCCGGGCCGTTGCAGCGGCGGAAGCTTCCTGACATGGATGGTCTGGCTGCAAATCGATGCTAGTTTCAATAAAAGCTTTTCTTTGGGGCTTCGGAAAAGTCTTCTGGAACGCGCCGAGAAGGGAGGGGAGCGGAGGGCTGCGGAATTGGCTGAACCTGGGTCCAACTCTGCCGGGGCGACAACGAGATCGTGGGTGGGCTTGCACGCAATTACGACAAAGAATTTTCTTCAGCTTCCAACCCTTCTTCCTCGGCTCGGGGTCGATGTGTTTCGTTGGACTTGGTGGTGATAGATGGAGACACGGCGAGGCCGGTTGGAGTTGATGAGTGGTGACACTCTTAGACCACCCACTCCCCATCCAATCCAAGGGCTGCGGTACCTAGACTAGGCTAGGTATGGTACCTAGGTAGGTTAGCAGGGCAAGGGTGGGTGTGGTGTGGTTCGTGTAAACGTACTGTATGTGAAGAGATTACTCCAGCGCTCCAGGGCCGTTTGGTCCAATTAGGAAGGCTTCCAGAACGAAATAAAACGGAAGCTGGAGTACCTACCTAGGTACAGAATGTTTCTAGAAGGATTCCAGCACGGGAAGGCTTCCAGAATAAGCCAGCTTACCTAGTCCAGCCCAGCCCAGCCCAGCCACAGCCACCAACAAACGAACGAACAAACAGCTTCAGGCCCCAGCCAAGAGAAGCATAGCATTTCCTGATTCGGTTGGCATTCTGTCTGTTGTCTGTCGGTTTCATTGTTATCATGGCTCGTGCTTCTGCTCCTCACCTTGACGTATGCTCAGAGACCCCGTTTCTTTGGCCTCGTTCCATCCATCCATGGCTGTCGACCACAACTTACTAACGTAGTACAATATTCGTTGGAAAGAAATGGTGTGCCGTACTGTCCTGTGCTGTTGAACCTGACTTCCTGTATTACCCGAAACCCTGGCGTACATTGTGTATGTATGTAGGTAGCATTGCACCATGGGTAAGGTAGTTCTCGATCTCGACCGTCGTGGGTATTGTATTGGGCACAATTGTACTGGTAGTGCATTGCACGCACACGGGTTTGATCCCTACGAGACTACTTGTCAGTGCCATTATGTCCACTCGTAAACTGTGGCTGCCTTGGTGTGTTGTCGATGATGGCTCATCATGCTCACATGTACCAATAATCGTTAACTACTTATGGCGAGCATCAAGAGGCAATTCGATGATAGGGGCAGACTTGAGTATCAACACCAACACCAACACCAATACATACAACATCGTGTCCGTTTTCCTTCTCAAGGAACCCCCAGCATAAGTCTGTTTGCAAAATAAAGTCTCAGCCCTGTGCCATGCTCCTAGCGTGGTTAGTTTAGGCCTGCAAAAAACCGTTTGGGTGATGGGAATGACGGCATGGTCCATTCCAAAGGATCCCTCCACATTCTTGTCCCTCAGAGATGTCCCCCATCGAAGGGCAAGGCCAATGACGGCTAAGACATCTGGAGCTTTCTCATTACACAAGAATTGGCGTCGGTATGTGGGCGTGAATCACTGTCATCGTGGATCGACAGCCGATGCTGTCGTCCGTCTATCAGCATGCCTTACCAGCCATCAACCACCACACCTTGCTCTTACATACGTGCGTTGGGAACTCAACCGACCTTTATTGGCCTCCACTGCTGAGACGATATTGTGACCCTAGACTTGAGGACAAGCTCCTTAATCATATGGCGCCACAATGTGGTCAGATGTTTCGTTGAATGGGTCAGAACTCCACTGACGAATGCTGGTCCGGGAACGAGATGTGAATGAATAAGTACTTCAGATCAGAGGCTCGGGGTGCGCTGAGATGAAATTTCGATGCCCTATTGCCTACCTTGGCCAAGGTGCCTGATCAAAGAACGGGTGTAACACGGTCACGATTTTTCGACATCGGGCATTTCGACATCTCGATTGTCAACTCTTGATATCCGAATGTATTTCAGGGTCTGTACTCACTCCACAATCTGCAGTTATCGCTGAAAACAGAGACTTTCCTGGTCTCCTCGGAATATGACACACAAGGTGATTGAAAAAGAAGCATTTGGGACAAGACTGCAAGGATTAGATGCATTCTATTGCTAATACTTGTTCGATTTGAAGCCACAGTGGCTCGCCTAAGAGCGGCTATCCATGGCGTTTGTTCTCTCGACCTGAGAGTTATTATCGCGCAATGTCAATTGGTCACCGTGCTGCAGAAGAAAAAGGCCGTGATGAATCCAGTATCTCGCAGTTTGCGGCTCTTCTGGGCGATTCGGCATCTCTCCCCGCCTCCAGTGCGAGGGGGTGGTCGCTGACCTACATACAAAGGAAGGTAGATCAAGGATTCAAGGGTCGTGTTGGAACATTCACCGACCTTTCGCCCTTTGACCACTATGGATGGTCAGGGGCCAGCAAATCACACCCAAGCCGTCACAATGTGCCCTGCATCCAGCACGATCGACCAAGATGTCGCAGTGGTAATCAGAAACTCTACAAGTCGTGTCCTACCTATCGTGGTACCGTGCGGTGCGATACGGTTTTGGTGCATACCTAGCAAACCCGGGCAGCTGGGCAGGATGGCGCCCGCTTATTTGAAGTCTCCGAAGGTCGGTAGCCGTGAATACAAACTGACAAACAACCACACCTACTCCCCACTATACCAGAGGAGTTAGGAGTGTCTGGAGTGCTAG